TCACAGGGTGGCCGAAGAGAAAGGCCCGGGACCGGGGCCGGGGGCCTTGCTGGCAGCTCCAGGCTGCCGCCATGCGCGCCGGCCCCCGTGCAGACGTACCCCAGGGAGGCCAGCACGGTGAGGTACTGGTTGATCTGCAGCATGGCGGCGTCCAGCAGGGTGTGGATGTTGCGCAGGCTCTGCAGCCGAGCCTCCAGGTGTTGCCGCTCGTGGCCCTCCAGAGCCCGCAGCTCCTCTGGAGTCAGCCCAGCAAAGCCCGCGGGGGGCACGGGCATCGGGGGGAAGGCTGGAGGGAGGCAGAGGCTCAGCCGGGGCGGCCTGGGCCCGACGCCCAAATCCCTCCAGATCAACCCCGAGGGCGGCTGGGTTTACCAAAGGGTGGAGGCAGTGGCATGCCCATCCAGGGTGGAGGGAAGGGGAAGCCCGGAGCGGGGCCGGCCTCGGGGGCGGGGGCAGAGCCAGGTGCCGAGGCAGAGGCGGAGGAGGCGGCGGCAGCTGTGGTCGTGGCTGCTCCGCTGGGCCGAGAAAGGGCTGGTACAGAGCGAGAACAGGAAGTTGGTGAGAGCTGAGGCCTCGGCTCTCCATTCCTCCCGCCCCCTGGCCGTCACAGTAGCCAAAAGACTCACCTGCACTCGTGGGCGGAGGGGCCACAGCCTCTCCTGAGCTGGGGGGAGGCGGGACGGGTGGAAAGGGGCCCATGGGGGGCCACAGCGGGAACATGCCTGGAGGAAAGGGAGGCAGGAGGCCCTGGGGGACTGCAGAGAGAGGACGAGGCAGTGAAGAAAGGTCCGGAGTGAGATAGCTCCGAATCCCATGTGAGAGACTGGTTGTTAGGAACTCTGTCCCTGCTCCCACGGGCCTCTCTGAGCTCAGCACTGATGACACGTGACTTCAGTCCACGGAGGTCTCTTTCTATGACCCCCTCCCCTATCCAGACTGAGCTTCTGGAGGATTCATCTCCGTGTTTCCCCTACCCAGCTCCGGGCAAGTACTCAACAGTGTGTTGGACGGCCAAACGAGGGGGCCACTCACAGTTAGGGGGCTGGGGCAGGAGTGGTGGGGGATGAGGAGCAGGTGGTGGCCCCTGATCCGCAGGTTCAGGGGGTGGTGGTGACTGGGTCGGCAGTGATGCCCGAAGGACGTCCATACGGCAGGTAGGGCAGGTCTGCTGCCGCTGGAACCAGGAGCGCAGGCAGCTGGGGGTCAAGAACAGGCGACGGTCGGCAAGTCCCCAGGAGCCTGCCTTCCAGGGCCCATCCCCTGCAGTCAGGCTCCCCGGGCCCCTCCCACCTGGTATGGAAAATGTGGTTGCAGGGCAGTCTCTTGGCGCCAGTCACCATCTCTTCTCGGCAGATGATGCAGACGTTGTCCGTTGCCTGGAGCTCCTCCGGGGTGGCATCTGGATACCTAGTGAGGACGGGCCAAGGGTATGTCCAGACTGAAGTGGAGACAGAGGAACCTGGGGCGGAGCTAGGGAGAGCAGCTGGACCGACCCACTTACAGCGTGTTCATGTTGCGGATGGCTCGGCGAGACATGATGGCGTCTGTCACGGCCTTCTTGAATTGCCTGAAAGCAGAGTTGCAGTGAAAGTTGGGTGAGGGAGAAGAGTCAGGTGTGGGGCAGGGGCAGGACGGGCTGGGCTGGGCTGAGCTGGGCTTACCTCATGGCCAGGTACATAGGCCGGATGGCAAAGAGAGGGAAGGTGTGCACCTTGATCATGATAGTCATGAAAGCCATGTACAGCAAAACCTTGATGAAGCCTGGGGGGCAAGGGGAGGTGCAGAGAGCAGCAGTCACAGGGCCTGGGAGGCAGGGCTGGGGACGCTGGTCCAGGTCAGGGGAGGCCCAGGCTCTTCTCACCTGTAAACAGCTCCGTGTAGAGCATGTACACGGCCTTATTGTCCCAGGGGTTCTCGCTCTGGAGGTCCACGGAGTGCAGCACGTACTTGATGAAGATGGTCAGCACCATAGTCATCAGGATAGCATACTGGAGGGAGGAGGGGGCGCGGGGACCTAAGCACACGACGCCTCTTTGCTCTGGTCACCCTTTGCCACACCCAGGCCGCTACAGCAGAGTGCAACGACGCAGGCGTGGTACTGGACACAGCTGGGGTCTTCCGAGCGCCTGCACTCACTAGCTGGTTTGACTTCTAGCAGCTCACCAGACCTCTCAGAACATCAGACACTTTGCTTGTCTGCCAAGTGACGGCATTAAATGTTCCTTAGTGACTACGTTGCTTTGCTGATTAAAAGACGCAGCCAGTGCTCAGCAGGGGATCTAGCGTACAGTGAGCTATCGCTGAACACCCCTCCCCAGCTGTCCATCGAGCTAAGTGCTTCCGTCCCAACGACAGCCAGCTCCTCTGGCGTCACCTTCCAGGAGGCCTTCCCTGAGCGCCGGGTCAGGGCTCCCCCAACACACACGCCTCTTTCTGTGCCTCCCCCGCTCTCCTAGGCGTGAGAGCGCATGAGGCGGGAGCGGAGACTGACGGCTGCTCCTTGGTGGCCTGCACGGGCCTGGCCACAGAACAGGTGCCCAGGGAGGGGCTGTTGGGTTATTCGAGGCACACTCAGAGGCACCTCAGGCTCGTCCTCCCCACCTCCCGAGCCAGTGTTACCTCAAAGCCAAACACCAGCTGCACAGAGGCCCCACGGGTCAGGATGCTGTGATAGGCATGGCTGACGAAGAGGAAGTCCAGGATACCCAGGAGGAACATAAGGGCTGTGGGGACCCCCCAAATAGGGGGTTGGTGGGGTCAGCCCAGGGACTGACAGCCACTTCCCGCTTTAAGACACCTCCCACCCTCAAGCCCTAGCCATCTAGTCAGGTGGCTTGACCCCGGCCCCCTGGGAGCTCCAGTTTTGCCTAGGAGGGTTTTAGAGCAGCCCAAGTTCCAGGTGAGGAGGCAAAGAACTGAGGGGCTGGACAGTTGAAAAGCCCTGGGGTGGAACAGGGCAGAGATGATGCAAATTAACTTCCCAAATTATCTTTCCTGTACAGCTGCGGGTCGAGGGGGAAGCCTGCGCTCTACGGCACGGGTCCGCAGTTCGTGACTTATCACGTTCCAATCCTCCACAGAGCCTCTTACTCCCTCCAGCTCCCTCCTCTCCCTTCCCATGGATCTCACTCACAGACGATGCGGCAGTGAAAGAGCCAGGAGATATTGGGGCTGCGTTCCATCTGAGGCAGAGCAGAAAGGGGGCCTGTCGGGAAGGCTGGGGCTCACCCCCCACCCCACCCCCAGCCTTCACTTCACAAGCCCACCTACCAAGCCACTCCCTGGCTCCCATCTGCTTTGAGAACCCCCTGACCCAACTCACAAAGTCCACACGGTCCTCAGCCAGCCAGTGGAAACACTTGAGGAAGAGAAGGAGAGTGAAGAGTGCAACAAAGCGGGGGCTGAAGTCGTCCCGAAAGACAGTGAAGGCCAGACAAGTCTCAGTGACGGCATACCAGGAACGTTCCAGAAGGTGCTGGGGATTGGGCAGAGAAAGACGAGGAATTCAAGACATTCTGCTTGCCCAGCTCCCTGGCCCTCACTTTTGGGAGTCGTGAACATCTTACCTCCATCTCTGCTGCCCTCAGCTGTCCAAAGAACACCTTGCCCATCACTTTGCCCAAGAGAAAGACAAGGACAAAGGCCTGGATGTAGAGGACCTAGGAGTGAGAAGAGGCTATGGTTTGAGGTCACTTTCTGCTCTGCTATGTCTGGGGCTCATGATTCCGGAACCTCCCTATGTCCCCGTCCGTCCCAATTCGTTCAAAGTTAGGCGGCTGGTGGCAGCTTCACGCCTCTCACGCTTACCTGACCCCCAGCTCCGCCCCTGTCTCAAGCAGACTCCTCCTTCCCTCCCAGGGAGCTCCTCCCACCCTGAGCCCTGAACTCACTGCCATGCTGGGGCTGGACTTGGTCAGGTACACCACGGTGGGGTAGAACTGGTGCTTGAGGTAGTAGGCATGAGCCACGACGGCCCCGGTCAGCGCCAGGCTGGCCGCCATCATCACTGCGGTGCGGAACATCGCTCCGGCCTGGAGACCTGCGTGGGGACAGGGAAGGAATAACCTGCGTGTTGCGCACACTGCGCAAACCCTGAACAGTGCCCAGCGCGGGATGTCACTAAACACCAGGGAGAGCCGCCCCCCCACCTCACCTCTCCCACACAATCATGACGTCAAATATAGCAAACGCCCCTCGCCCCCTCATTTTACGAACAAGAAAATGGAGGCTCAAAAGGGTTAAGCGATCAGACTGACGCAAGGCCTGGAGCCTGGGTCAGTTTTGTTTCAAATCTAGGGCTCTTTCCACGCCGCCTGCCAAGCCACCGCCTCCAGGGAGGAACGGGGAAAGGCAAACGTGTTACAGGAAGGAGAACTGCTACCACGGGCTCTACCGTGAAGGTGATGGAGAGGATGCAAACGCAGAAATCTCCAGAAGCGGTTACGTGCCGCCTGGACTCGGAGAAGCCAGGCGCTGGGGGGCGCAGCCGGGCAGGAGACAGCGCCGGTGACAGCTCGGCGGGGGTGCGCAACCCCGCCGCGCGCCCCGCGGGAGCGGGCGGGATACGTCAGCCTGGAACCCTGGCGTCCCCCACCCGCCGGGGCAATGTCCACTCGGGGCACCGGAGAAACGGCCGACTGGAGGGATGCAGCGGCGGCACGGAGAGGGACCCGGGTCGCCCCCGCACCTGTAAGCTCCGGGAGCTGCGAACGTCGCAGGTGGGGCCCAGCCAACGGAGAGCGGCCGCACGGGAGCCTGAGGTCTACCGCCAGCTGACAAGCCGCAAGCGGGGCTGAGGGGGCGCGTCGACCCCGGAGACCGCAAGGGGAGGGCCCAGGTCCCGACTCCAACCACAACCCGGGCCCCACCCCGGCCGACTCACCAGGAGCCCAGCGCCGCGAGCCCGCTCAATCCCCGCGACTGCGGAGGCGGCCCCGGTTAACAACACTCCCCACCCCCTGCGAGCCGGAACTTCGGGGAGAGACACCTCACTTCCGGCGGGGCGCGGCGTGGGTCGTACCAAGTGCACCCTTCCTTTGGCCGCCCCGCGCACCGTCCGTGGTGCCGGGAGCGGTAGTCCCGCCACTGTATCTAGGCTTCGTGCCCACGGCCGGAGCTAAAGACGCGAGAGGTGGTCGGAGCGGAATAGGACAACCCGGGAGATAGTTGGAGTCCCCCCATCTATCAGTCAAAGATGGTATCGCCTCCGCCGCTGAGTGTACTCAACCTAGCGGAGGGCTCAGGCTCTCAAAGAGGCTGGTAGGTGGGGCTTCGTGTGGGCCGTACCACTTGGAAGGGGGAGTGTGCAAGGGACAAGCATTACGGGCTTAAGAGAAATAAAATGTTTTAGAGTCTCATTCCAGAAGATTTCGCAACAACTTCACAAATAAGAGGCTTCCTTGGAGAACTGGGTTCAGAAAAGAAAAATTTGCTTCTCCGCGATCACCCCCGATTTGTGTGGGAGTGAGTTGGGTCCCCGTGGCTGCTACTAATTGGCCTAGATAGAGTTACGCGGACCAATAAGAAAAGGAAGGACATTTGCTGGCCTGTGGAAAGAGAAAAGCAGGTGAGCGGTTGCTAGGGACGGAAGGCAGCGTTGCCTAGGTCTGGGTCCAACCCCAGTGGGCGGACAGCTGGCAGGGTTGGGGGGTAGGGGGGGCGCAGTCCGTGGGCGGGTGATCTGTGTCTGCCCAGCGGGAACATTTGCTGCGCCACAAAAGGGAGGGGCAGCCTGATGTGTCTGGGATTAAGAAGGCAGACGTTTAATTCCGGCTAATGTTGGGATGGGTGTTCAATGCAAAGGGATTGACTTCAGCTTCCCGGCGCCTACAGCTTTGCTCTCCTTGTGTTCAGCCCCGGGCCGTAATCGCAGCTACTACTGATCTTGGGCTGCGTAGTATTTGTTTGTGTCGCAGTCGGCTCGTTGACAGAATGAAGCCGATACACCCAATTTGTGCCTTGCGTTGTCCTCCGTCGCATTTAACATCCAAGCACTACAGTTTATGAGCTAGAAGGTGCTATACTCATTTTGGACTTGGGACTGTTGATGTTCAGAGATTTAACAAGACCTGTCCTGGGATTGGCATCGGGTGTGTCTGATTCTAGATTCCCGTGCTGTTGGTTGGCCTCATCACCTTCACCACCTCCCCAACTGGCCTGACCAATTTAGCTGTCACAGAGTTGGCTCCCTCGCGAGGCCATCTATTACTTTCTAGTGACTAAAACCAATGGTCAGCTTTCGGTTCTCGCTTGACTCGATCTCTTTCCTCTTGTAAAAAGTCTCCTCCTTCAACTTCTGTGATCCCACAGGCCTCTGCTTTTCTCTCTGGCTGTACATCTGCCCCTTTCCTCCCTCTGTCCTTTTATTTAAATGTCGGTGTCCACGTTGGCCCCTTCTGTTTGTTTTGTGTACATAATGTCCTCTGCTCCTGTGGATTCCATTTCCCCACCCAAGTGCTGATGACTCCCACGTCTAGTCTTTACTAGAATATCTCCTGTTTTTAAAACACTTCAGTGTCCCTAGTCATCCCCTCTTACCCGGCTCCGGAAACGTGGGCATCTTGTTCCCCTGTCCCTCTCCCATCTGTCCCCACATCCCCACTGGTAAATAAGTCATTTATTCAGTTGTCTGCGAATATGTGTCAGATGCAGCCTGTTCTAGGAACTTAGGATGTCCGTGAACAAAACACAGATCTCTGCCTTTTTGACGTTTTATTCTAGTAAGTGTGCTGGATGATAGACAGTACACATGATGTGAGTGAATTCTCTACTATGTTGGGAGGCAATGAATAATAAGTGCTCTAGGCAAAAAATAAAAAAAGAGCAGAACAAAAGGGGGTCAGGAGTGCGGTAGGGTGCTTGAAGCAGGTTGCCATATCAGTGAGAAGCTGGACAAAGACTTGAAGGAGGTAGAGGCGTGAGCCAAGTGGATATCTGGGTAAAGAGTTGCAGCTAGGTAAGAGTCGACCTGTCCTGGTTTGTTGGAGGACGTGGGTGTGGCCAGAGTGGAAATAGCAAAAGGGTAAGGAGGAGGAGGAGGCAGAACCAGCTGGCATTAGCCATTACCAGGACTTTGGCTTTTACTCTGAGTGACATGAGGAGCCATGAGCAGAGATGTTGTAAAAGGCTCTACTTAGGTAAGAGGGTCACTCTAGCACCTGTGCTATTGAATGGAGTGGGGTTGTGGGCAAAGGTGAGAGCGGGGGGAAAACAGGAGGCTCTTACGGTATATTACTCAAGAGATGAAGTCCTGGGTGGGTGGGGGGGGCACCTGGCTGGCTCAGTCGGTTAAGCAACTGACTTTGGCTCACGTCATGATCTCGCGGGTTCCCGTCATGATCTTGCGGTCCGTGAGTTTGAGCCCTGTGTCGGGCTCTGTGCTGACAGCTCAGAGCCTGGAGCCTGCTTCCGATTCTGTGTCTCCCTCTCTCTGCCCCTCCCCTGCTCAGGCTCTGTCTCTCTCGCTCGCAAAAATAAATAAACATTAAAAAGAGAGAGAGAGAGAGAGAGAGAGAGAGAGAGAGAGAGAGAGAGAGATGAAGTCCTATTGAGTCTGCCTCCGAAGTGTTTCCATCGCCATCTCCTGGTCTTCTTAGTCCAGGCTGTCACCATCTTATGCCTGGTCCAGTTTAACAGCCACCCGACTGGTCTCCTTTCCTATTCTCTGCTCTCCACTTATTGCCCCTACAATGGCCAGAAAGATCTTCTGACACCTCCGTTCACGTCTTGTCTCCTCTCCCCACGCTCTGCCTGTCAGGCATATGCCCTATTTGTGGGGACCCCAGATGTGTCATGCGTATGACTTGTCCTGTTCCTGATCCAATAAGCGAATTTAGTAAGGTTACAGGATAGAAACTCAATGTACAGAAACCCACTGCATTTCTATACAACAATAATGAAGCAACAGAAAGAAATTAAGGCAGCAATCCCATTTATAATTGCACCAAAAATAATAAAGTATCTAGGAATAAACTTAACCAAGGAAGCGAAAGACTTGGACTCTGGAAACTACGAAACGTTGATGAAAGAAATTGAAGATGATACAAGTGGAAAGATATTTCATGCTCAGGGATTGGAAGAACAAATATTGTTAAAATGTCCATAGTACCCAAAGCAATCTACAGACTTAATGCAATCCCTATCAAAATACTGGTAGCATTACTCACAGAACTAGAACAAATAATCCTAAAATTTGTATGGAACCACAGAAGACCCCAAATAGCGAAAACAATCTCGGTAAAGAAAAACAAAGCTGGAGGCATCACGTTTCCAGATTTTAAGTTATCCTACAAGCTGTAGTAATGAAAACAGTGTGGTACTGACACAAAAATAGACACATAGAGGGATGCCTGGGTGGCGCAGTCAGTTAAGCGTCTGACTTTGGCTCCAGTCCTCAGGTCATGATCTCACCGTTTGTGAGTTTGAGCCCCGCCATCAGGCTCTCTGTCAGCACACAGCCTGCTTTGGATCTTCTCTCTCTCTCAAAAATAAACATTAAATAAATGGAAAGATATCTGATATCTATGGGTTATAGGACTTAATATTGTTAGACGGCATGGTCCCTAAAATTGATCTAAAAATTCAGCAGTCCCTGTCAAAATCCCTGCTGCCTTCATCGCAAAAATTGATGAGATCTTCAAATTCATGTGGAAATGCGTGAGACCCACAATAGAGAAAACATTCTTAAAAAGGAAGAAGAAAGTTGGAGTACTCATACTTCCTGATTTTATTTTTTTTTTTTTTATAAAAAAATTTTTTTTTCAACATTTATTTATTTTTGGGACAGAGAGAGACAGAGCATGAACGGGCGAGGGGCAGAGAGAGAGGGAGACACAGAATCGGAAACAGGCTCCAGGCTCTGAGCCATCAGCCCAGAGCCCGACGCGGGGCTCGAACTCACGGACCGTGAGATCGTGACCTGGTTGAAGTCGGACGCTTAACCGACTGCGCCACCCAGGCGCCCCTACTTCCTGATTTTAAAAACTTACTACAAAGCTACAATAATCAAGATTATGTAGTAATAGCAAAAGGATAGACAAAGAAGTGGAGTAGAATTAAAAGTCCAGAAATAAGCATATACATTTATAGTCAGTTGATTATCAACAACACGATGCAGCCGGGGGGGGGGGGGAAGTAGTCTTGTCAACAAATGGTTCTGGGAACCTTACCTCACACCATACACAAAACATTAGCTCACAATGGATCAAAGACCTAAATGTAAGACCTGAAACTATAACAGTCTTAGGGAAAAAACAGGCATAAGTCTACATGACCTTGGGTTAGATAATGGTTTCCTGGATATGACGTCAAAAGCATCACAATGAAAGAAAAACTAGCTACATTGGACTTCATCAAAACTTAAAACTTTTGTGCTTCAAAAGACAGCGTCAAGAAATTGAAGAGACAACCCGCAGAATAACAGAAAAGATTTGCAGACCATATATCCGATGAAAGACTTGTATCTAGAATATAAAAAGAATCCTTCCAACTCAATAATAAAAAGGCAGATAACCCAATTCAGAAATGGTAAAGGAGTTGAACAGAAATTTCTTTCAAAGAAGAAATGGCCAATAGGCACACGAAGGAAATGCAAACCAAAACCACAATGAGATCACTTCACGCCCAGATGGTTATAATAAAAAAGACACACACAAAAAGCCCCATAATAACAAGTATTAGCAAGGATGTAGAGACATTGGCGCCTTCACGCATTTCTAGCAGGGGAAAATAGTACAGGTCCTTTGGAAAACAGTTTGGTGTTTCCTCAAGAAAATGAACGGAGAGTTACCCTATGATCCTGCGATGCCCCTCCTGGTTACATCCCCAGGAGAAGTGAAAATGTCTGTTCACATAAACACTTGTACATGAGTGTTCGTAGCAGCATTATTCAACATAGCTGAAAAGTGGAAACCCAAAGGTCCGTGAACGGAGAAACAAAATGTAACATATCTATACAATGGAGTATTATTCAGTATAAAAAGGAACGAAGTGCTGATTCATGCTATAACACTGATGAACCTTGAAAACATTATGCTCCGTGAAAGAAGCTAGACATATTGTATCATTCCATTTATGTTAAATATCTGGAAGAGTAAAGTCCACATAGACAGAAATTTAGTGGATGCCAGGGGCGGGATTGGGAAATGGGGAGCGATGGCTAATGGATGTGGGGTTGCCTTTGGGGGTGATAGAAATGTTCTGGAATACGTACTAGTAACAGTTGCCCAACTTGGTAACTATACTTAAAATCGCTGAATTGTACACTTTCAAATGGTGAGTATTATGGTAGGTGAATTTTACCAATGAAAAAGTCAAGGAAACAACAAAGTAGAAATTAATAAAATAAGTAAAGCTGAACTAGAGATTAACAAAGGTGAAAGTTGGTACTTTGAATTCACCAATAATAAGATATGTAGAGGCTGCTTTTAGGCAACAGGCTTGAGCAGTGGGAACCTGAGAAAGGTAGAAGGGGCCCACCGTGACCACCTATCAGGTGCCACACCTCAAAATACCCACAAGCCCTAGCTGACCAAGGGGCTACTTACAACCGGTCATAGGCACCAAAAAGACAATTCCACACGAACCTCCCCTACCTCCTGCCCTCCTTCCCTTGCAGTGTATTCCATGAACTTCTAACTCCTTTGTTCTGCCTTGGGTGAATTCTTTCACCTCTGAGACACCAGCCTCCACCTGATCGGTCACCCCCCAAGATAGACTGCTGTCAAGACTGATCAAAAAACGGGGCACCTGGGTGGCTCAGTCAGTTAAGTGTCGGACTTCGGCTCGGGTCGTGGTCTCGTGATCTGTGAGTTCGAGCCCCGCGTCGGGCTCTGTGCTGACAGCTCAGAGCCTGGAGCCTGCTTCGGATTCTGTCTCCCTCTCTCCCTGAACTTACCCTGCTCACGCCCTCTCACTTTCTCAAAAATAAATAAAACAGTTTTTAAAAAATTTAAAAAAAAGACTGATAAAAAAAAAAGAGTTGAGGTCCAAATAATATAAAGAATGGAAATCAGAAATAACCACAGACACAGCAGAGGTTTTAAAATAATATAAATAGAGTAGGTGGAATTTTATGGCAATACATTGGAAAACTTAGGTGAAATGGACAACTTCTGGAAAATAAAAGATGTGCTAAAACTGAGAACAAAAATAGACCAATAAATATTTTTAAGATGAGTCAGTAGTTAACTATCTCCATTCCTCCTCCTGAGATACAGACAACAGGAGACTTTATCAGGCCCAGAGGGTTAACAAGCTCAGGGTTGTAAAACTCTCAATTCTTCTCCAAATGGACCTAAAATTTCAATCTAGATCAAAAAGGTTTTTTGGTGGAATTGTATATTCCACTGCTTTTAAAATGTATATATACAATCTGGGTGCCGGGGTGGCTCTGTCGGTTAAGCGTCCGACTGCGGCTCAGGTCATGATCTCATGGTTCATGGGTTTGAGCCCTGCGTCGGGCTTTGTGCTGACAGCTCAGAGCTCAGAGCCTGCTTCGGATTCTGTGTCTCCCCCTCTCTGCCCCTCCCCTGCTCATGCTCTGTCTCTCAATAATAAATAAACATTTAAAAAAATTTAAAAAAAAAGGATAAATTGAGTTCATTGTCACTGCCATGAAAAGTTGTCCATCCTATGTTATTATGGAAAAAAGAGATTGTATAATGGTTATACAGTAAGATTTCAATTTTGTGAACCGAGGGGGAAAAATCCCTTAAAATATCCGCAGGAATATTCACCAACTAGTCCTGGTGGTGATGTGGGTGGAAGGTAGCAATAGGATTGTGTCTGTGTTTATGGGTTAGACATTTCTGTAAGGTTTGAATTTTTCACCAAGAAAGGGGATTCCTTTCATACACAGAAAAATAAAGATTTAAAAACAAAGGCAGTAGCAATTCCAGGTCGCTGGGAGCTGGGTGGCCAGGTGAGCTTGAAGCTTCGGGGAGAAGGGCACCATTGACAATCTGGAGGACAAGCAGCCTTCAGATCAGAGACTCGAGCCGCCTGCCCACAGGCACATCCGACCCTGGGTTGAGTTTTGTTTGACCTGCGCAGCACTGAATTTTTATAAATTAGTCGTCGTTGCTTAAAATATATGATTTCGCACAAGAAGTAAGGATTCCTGGCTTCTCCAGGAGCCTCACGGGGCCCAACTCCCCAGTGAGAGCTGCTTCCCGTCCCCAGTGGCCAAGTTCACTCTTGCTCATTACCTGTCCCAGCTTCCTTACCTGAGGCAGGCGTCGAAATGGAGACAATTCTCAGCACTCCTTGACGAGCGCTGCCCACTCCTCCACTCAGCTGGGTATCAGCTCCAGGGGGCACACGTCAGGAATTCCTCCCATCATTTATCTGACACGCATTTATTCAAGTCTGTTTCTTCTCTCTATGGAGCCCCTGCCCGTGTGAAAAGGGATGAAAGGAAACCTCATTAGAAGGGAGCCAGGAGGCCAGCAGGGGGAGCTCTCACGCCCAACATTAGCTGTCAACTGCAGAGCCAAAGGGGAGGGAAGGAACTCGAAGAGCGGATAGGTACTACTTTTACTGACCATCCCAGCGGGAGGAAGGCTCATTTCTTCTTCCTCCAGCCACAGCCCAGCCAAGGACAGACAGTCGCAGCTCAGCCACTGAGAAGCCACCATACGTCAAGCTCCCCGTTTATGACTCCCGACGCCCCACTTGCCTCTATCAAAGAATGGCCCTCTCCTTTGTTCGGGGACTTGCCTGCGGTTTTACCGTGGCAGCTGGCTCGTCCCAGATTGTAAATTCTCAGCGATTCCTGAGCAAGCCCATCCTTTGCTGGGAAGACAGCTGGCTGTGCCAGATGATGCCACATGGGGGAGAAAAGAGTTGTGCGCTTCACTCAGCCTTGCCCAAACTGCAAAACTGTGAGGAATGAAACGGCGGTTGTTGGTGCAAACCTTTAGGTTTTAGGGTGGTTTGTTTCACAGCGGTAGACGGCCCAAACAGTGGGCATCATACCCGGTTTGTCTCCCTGTTCCCAGCCCCAGGTCCAGGGCCTGGTGGACCCTCAGTAAATATTGAAGGAGTAAATAAACAAACGTTTGGATAGATGAATAGATGGGTGGATACGTGCATTGTCTTGGGCCTGATGGCCCTGAAGTGGTCGGTTCTGGCCGAATCAGGGACACAGAGGGCAGCAGCTTCATGGAGAAGCGAGGGGACAGTCCCTGTTGCGATTGTTTGAAATCATTTCCTCCCGCACAGGGTTCCAGTCAGAGCCACTTGAGGTGGCATACCACAGGCAGTGGGGACGCGGCTGTTCCAGTGAGATGACACTGCCATCCAGGGGCCTGGAAGGCTCCGCGGTGCCCTGGTTTGGGAAGCACAGGGACGGAAGGAATACCTGGGGGGGGGGGGGGGGGGGGGGGGGGGGAGGGCGGGGCTCTATTTCACTGGGTTCCAGAGTTAAGTCTCACGTGGTTGCCACGGAACAGCTGAAGCATATGTGGTTTTTTTGTTGTTGTTGTTTTGCTGTTTGGCTTCGTTTTATCATTCCAACCTCTGCAGTCCAAGAAGGCAGCTGGAAGGAGCCTGGGACAGCCGCCACATGAGCCAGATGGCTACACCCACTTCCACTCCCTGCTCTGACAAAGGCCTTCCCAACCGGACATTCGGATTCCCGCGTGGTCGGCTTCAGCCCGCCTCCCCCCTCCCCACCCATCCTCGTCCACTTTGTGTTGTCGTCAAGCTCACTTTGTCCTCGTGCCACCCAACTCTGCTGGTCTCTTTGGCAAAGGTCTCTTCTCTATGCTTTTCTTCTCCCGTTTGCCCGGAAAATCCCTAGGGCTCGTCTAAGACACTGCCAAGCATCGGCTGTAAACCCAAATGAATCTCTCCCTCCTCTTGGCGCCCGTGGCACCGAGCCAGCGTGGACACAATCTCGGATGACCCCATATTGTAATTGCTCCCATGTCTGTGGCCTCTGTCGGCGCAGGGTTTGGAATAACGAAAACTGCTCCCCTGTGGATGCTGCAAATCGTAAGGATTATCACACAGCCCGCGTGTGCTGGGCTCCGACTGGATGCCGGGCGTGGTTTTAATTCTTACAACGGCCCCACGAGCCAGGTTCTGTGATCATGCGTGGTTCGTGGGCGAGGAGACCGAGGTACAGAAAGACTGAGCAACTCGCCCGAGCTTTGCAGAGCTGCTAGGGAAAGACCGTCAGCCCCGAAACCCAGGCAGGGTGGCCCCGTAGCCCTGTTCTCACCCCTTTTACTTTATACCTTGTCCATTTTCTCAATCCCTGTCCTGTGACAAGCTGCCGTCGCTTTTTGTTTGTTTGTTTGTTTGTTAAAGTAAACTCTAAGCTGAACGTGGGGTTTGAACTCATGACCCCAAGATCAAGCGTCACATGCTCTACTGACTGAGCCAGCCAGGCACCCCGAGGTGCCATTTTATTTATTTATTTATTTATTTATTTATTTATCAAATTATTTTTAGGTTTTTATTTATTTATTTTGAGAAAGAGAGAGAAGGAAAGAACAAGTGGGGGAGGGGCAGAGAGAGGGGGACAGAGGACCTGAAGCAGGCTCCGTGCTGACAGCAGAGAGCCTGACGCGGGGCTTGAACTCACCAACTGTGAGATCATGACCTGAGCCAAAGTTGAATGCTTAATTGACTGAGCTGCCCAGGCGCCCCGCAAGTTGCCATTTTATTGCTGAGAAAGTAAAAGCTCAGAGAGGCTAGGGAACTTAGCCAGAGTCACCCTGCTGGGTGTCTCTGAGTCCCGGCCGAGCCAGGACTCTGTCTGGTTCCCCAATGCACCTTAGCACTTCTTGTGAGCCAACAGGCCCCACCGTCCGGACCCAGGTCCCCCGGGGCCTGTGGTGAATTACGCCCCTAACCCAAGCAGTGTCTGGGCTAAGCCTTTCCTCACAGTCTCTGGGAAAAGCCAGGGAACGGTCACCACCAGGCTAGACAGCCTGAGTGTCATCGGAGGGCAGAGCGGAGACCGGGAGCCATGTCGTAACTCTGAACGCAGGTCCTGAGGGCATCTGTAAAGGGACGTAGAATACAGGGGTGGGCTAAGGACAGGTCCAGGGACAGCACCTCTTACCCAAATGTACCAAAAAAGGTATTAGGGGTGGGGCACCTAGGTAGCTCAGTCAGTTAGGCATCCAGCTCAGGTCACGATCTCATGGTTTGTGGGTTCAAGCCCTGAATCAGGCTCTGTGCTGACAGTAGGGAGCCTGCTTGGGATTCTCTCTCTCCCTCTCTCTCTGCCCCTGCCCTGTTTGCGCGCGTTCTCTCTCTCTCTCTCTTTCTCTCTCTCTCTCAAAAATAAATAAATAGGGGTGCCTGGGTGGCTCAGTCGGTTGAGTCTACGACTTCGGCTCAGGTCATGATCTCGCAGTTTGTGGGTTCGAGCCCCGCATCGGGCTCTGTGCTCACAGCTCAGAGTCTGGATCCTGCTTCAGATTCTGTGTCTCCTTCTCTCTCTGCCCCTCTACCATTTGGGCTCTGTCTTTCTCTTTCTCTCTCAAAAATAAATAAACATTAAAAAAAAATAAACTTAAAAAAAAAAAAAAGGAAGGTATTGGGGGCAATAAGGTGATGGCTTGGGCAATCAGCGAGCGCTCAGCCGATCAGCACACGTTTATAGGGCCTGTTATGTGCCAGGCACAGGGCTCTGTGCTGGGGCTTGGTAGAGAACCAAAAGACACTTCCTGCCCTCATGAGCCTTCTTGCCTGGTGCAGGGAATTTGGGACACACACTTTTCCTTCTGCCCCTCTCCCATCAGAATGGACGGGGTTTCCCTCCTGCCGTTCATTCAGTCGTTTCTTTATCCAACAAGTATGTACTGAGTGCCCACCATGAGCCAGGCCTTGTTCTCAGTGTGGAGAACGCATTAGCAAAACAGATAAAGGTCCCACCTCGTGGAGCTTCCGGTCGATAGGCAACAAAGAAACAAGGAAACACATAGAGAAGTGTTGACTTCGGGAAATGAGGAGGGGAGGGGAGGGGGAGCAGATGAGGAGGACCCAGAGGGTCTGAAAGGAGGAGAGACAGTCCTTCTATCCCTGCAGAAGGTGTACGCAGAGATGTGGGCTCGGGAGATCCAGGAGGACAAGGGAATGAGCGCGGGAGGTTGGAGGCTCGAGAAGTCATGACCAGTTATCTCAGAAAGAGGGACAGCGGGGGTGGGGGGCACCTGGGTGGCTCAGTCGGTTAAGCTTCCGACTTTGGCTCCGGTCGTGATCTCGTGGTCTGTGGGTTCAAGCCCCATGTCAGGCTCTGTGCTGACAGCTCAGAGCCTGAAGCCTGCTTTGGATTCTGTGTCTCCCTCTCTCTCTCTGACCCTCCCCCACTCTCTCTCTCTCTCTTTCTCTCTCTCTCTCTCTCAAAAATAAATAAACATTAAAAAAAAAAAAAAAGAGGGATGGGATCCACACAGACAAACACAGGAGAATGTAAGGAGGTGTGTGCCCAGAGACTCCCGTGGCCCAAGTTCACAGTCAAACAGCCTTCTGCTTATCATATTTGCTTCTCCTCAGGTGCAGGTACCTCGTAGGCGGGTGAATGGATTCAGCCAGGGCGTGGTGCTTCTGGGAGGTGTCCATGCGTTCTGGATACTCCTCTAGGCAAGAGGCGGCCCCTAATTCTCCTCCCCTTGAGCGGGCGCTGGGCTGGGTCATGCACTTCTAATGAGTAAATGGTGGCTGAAAAATGTGACATCCAGTCACAAGAGGCACTTTGGCTTCCTGCTTGCCCTCTGTCTTGGGTCACTCACTCTGGGGGAAGCCACTTGCCATGGCGTGCAGACACGCAGGCAGGACCACAGGGTCGGAGCTGAGGCCCTGCAGCCCACAGCCATGAGAGTGAGCCCCCAGGGAAGGGGACCCTGCACACAAGCCTCCGTCCCTACCAAGCCTTCAGATGATGACAGCTCGGGCCAACATCTTTTGTATTGATTGACTGATTGATTGGCATCTCTCTCTTTTTTTAAATTTAATTTATTTTTAAAATCTCCACCCAAGTTAGTTAGCATCTAGTGCAACAATGATTTCAGGAGTAGATTCCTTAGTGCCCCTGACCCATTTAGCCCATCCCCCCTCCCACAACCCCTCCCGTAACCCTCAGTTTGGTCTCCGTATTGAAGAGTCTCTTTTGTTTTGTCCCCCTCCCTGTCTTTATATTATTTTTGCTTCCCTTCCCTGATGTTCATCTGTTTTGTCTCTTAAAGTCCTCATATGAGTGAAGTCATAGGATTTTTGTCCTTCTCTAATTTCGCTTAGCATAATACCCTCCAGTTCCATCCACGTAGTTGCAAATGGCAAGATTTCATTCTCTCTGATTGCCAAGTAATACTCCCTTGTATAGATATACCACATCTTTATCCATTCATCCATGGATGGACATTTGGGCTCTTTCCATACTTTGGCTATTGTCGATCGTGCTGCTATAAACATGGGGGTACTTGTGTCCCTTCGAAACGGCACACCTGTATCCCTTGGATAAATGCCTAGTAGCGCCATTGCTGGGTCGTAGGGTAGTTCTATTTTTAGTTTTTTGAGGAACCTCCACACTGTTTTCCAGAGTGGCCACACCAGTTTGCATTCCCACCAGCAGTGCAAAAGAGATCCTCTTTCTCCGCATCCTCGACAAATCTGTGGTTGCCTGAGTTGTTAATGATAGCCATTCTGACTGGCGTGAGGTGGTATCTCAGTGTGGTTTTGATTTGTATTTCCCTGATGATGAGTGATGTGGAGCATCTTTTCATGTGCCTGTTGGCCATCTGGATGTCTTCTTTGGAGAAGTGTCTATTTATGTCTTTTGTCCATTTCTTCACTGGGTTATTCATTTTTGGGGTGTTGTGTTTGATAAGTTCTTTATAGATTTTGGATACTAACCCTTTATCTGATATGTCACTTGCAAACATCTTCTCCAATTCTGTCGGTTGCCTTTTAGTTTTGCTGATTGTTTCCTTTGCTGTGCAGAAGTTTTTATTTTGATGAGGTCCCAATAGTTCATTTTTGCTTTTGTTTCCCTTGCCTCCGGAGATGTTTTGAGTAAGAAGTTGCTGCGGCCAAGGTCAAAGAGGGTGTTGCCTGCTTTCTCCTCGAGGATTTTGATGGCTTCCTGTCCTATGTGTAGATCTTTCATCCATTTTGAGTTTTTTGTGTGTGTCTGGTGTAAGAAAGGGGTCCAGGTTCATTTTTCTGCATGTCGCTGTCCAGTTTTCCTAATACTACTTGCTGAAGAGACTGTCTTTATTCCATTGGATATTCTTTCCTTTTTTTCAAAGATTAGTTGGCCATATGTCTGTGGGTCCATTTCTGGGTTCTCTATTCTGTCCTATTGATCTGAGTGTCTGTTTTGTGCCAAGCTCCGGCTGACATCTTGATTGCAAACCTCACGAGAGATGGTGAGTCAGGACTTTTAGCTCTGTTGCTCCTGAAGTCCTAACCCACGGAACAGAGAGGGAGTAAATTGCTTTTTGATCAAAACCACAAAGCTCTGGGATAATTTTTCTACAACAACAGGTAACTAATACACCAGGTGTCTTTGATAGAGAGAGGGGCCATCGGAGGGCAGGCTCCCATCTGTTTATACAAGAACCTAGGTTCCTTCCACTTTGTGGCTCTGCCATCCCCTGGGGGCCCACGGAGTGCCCTGGAGACCCTCTGCATTTGGCTGGAAGTCAGGGATATAGAAAGCGAGGGAGATTGTTAGGGAGCTATTTAAATGCCACACCTTGTAGTGAATAATAAAATACAACGAAACATGGGATGAGGAAGTGACATTTAAAATGGAAGCGAAAGAGGGGCGCCCGGGTGGCTCAGTCAGTTAAGCCTCCGACTTTGGCTCAGGTCATGATCTCACAGTTTGTGGGTTCGAGCCCCGCGTCAGGCTCTGTCCTGACAGTGCGGAGGCTGGAGCCCAGAGCCGGCTTTGAGTTCTGTGTCTCCCTCTCTCTCTGCCTCTCCCCCGCTCAAGCTCCATCTCTGTCTCTTTCTCAAAAATAAATCAACATTAAAAAAATTAAAATTGTGAAATACTTGATATGTACAAAATAGTTGTCAAATGTACATAAACCATGGAGTGAGATAATAAACACCAAAGTTGAAAAACAAAACATTGGCAACATTTCTGTTTCTCCATTGCCTCCTCCCAACACATCTCCCTGACTTCCACACCCCTACTTTTTATTATTGTATTTTTTATTTTTTTATTATTTATTATTTAAAAAAAAATTTAATGTTTATTTATTTTTGAGAGAGAGAGACAGAGGGTGGGCACGGGAGGGAGAAGGGCAGAGAGAGAGGGAGACACAGAACTCGAAGAGGGCTCCAGGCTCCGCACTGTCAGC